TTTACTACATCACGGAGCACTTCTGCAGTGCTCCAAAGCCCCTGTTTAAAATGAAGATGTTTCCAGATGACTGGGGAGAGCTGCTTTTCACAGTAACTTCACTATAGGCAGAGTAGAGGAAATCTGGAAGGATTGCTCCTTGCTATGCAGGAGGATCTTGCATTGGATCTTCACAAGCACTGACACAAACTGGAAAAAATCTTTCTCAAATGCTCTGGAGGATAAATGGAAGCTGCAGCTGTGAAAATGTGCATTGTTCTCTCCTGAAGTGCACTAAATGCATTTGGTTGATATTAAGCAGCATTAGAGACTTAACTCTTCATGTGGCTGCTCAGTCTTGGCTCCACTGAAATAAAGTGATTGTACATATGAGGTTAGACAGAATGAGGGCGATGTTGATGCCCAGCCAAAACTGTGGGGTTGGGGAAGGGGGATAGAGAAGTTTTTCTCTTGCTGAGTAGCAGTACAAAACAGGAAATGATGCACACAGTGAAAACAGATGCTGTTTCCAAAGAGAGTTAAAAGGAACATTTAGAGCATTGACATCTGCCAGATCATTACCTAAATCAGACCAATCAGTGCTAATGCTAGTTATGTTTTTAATAACAGGTCACACGAAAAATTAGGAATAAACAGCCTGAGCAGAGGAATAGTCAGCAGGAGTCAATAGAGACTTTTTTGAGACACTGCTGCTGATTTGCTCCAAGTTTGCAGATAATCTTCATGTTTAGTCTTCCATCTATGCAGTGGGAATAGGGACTCCACAGGGACACTGCAAAGTCTGATAGAAACTGAATGAAAAGACGATGCAAGAGAAGAATATTATTGCTGAAACACAAAGGGGAGTGAGTAGTTGACCCAGTTATTCCTGAGGCCTGTGGTCAACCTGTGCCCTCCTAGGGCATCTTTGCTGTTCTGAGGCAGCTGGGCTGGTGCAAGAACCATCCCGACTACCCAAACTGCTGCACGCTGGTGGTCAGCTCCGAGTCTTCTCCTCTGAGGGTCAGTCAAGACAAACAGGAGCGAAGCAGTAGGCCAAGGCTTTTGTTTTGAAAAAAAGCAACCTAAACTATTTCCTTCGCCTCCTGATTCCCCAGATTTTTCTGTATTGCCATATATTTCTCAGTGATTTCAGAGACCCTACTCCTACTTGGGCCCACTATTGAATGTGTGGGCGTAATGTGTGTTCCTCTTAAAATTGGATCAGGCAAAATACACATCTTTGCCTTTTAATTATTAGACACAGGATAAGCCTTCTTTAATTAGGACTGACAGACAAGGGGCATCACAAGTTCCCAATGCCACATTTTTCTGTATTCACTGAATCTCTTTTTGAAGTTCCTAATTCACATAACAAAAATCACCCATGAACTGATGAATCAGCATGGTGGTCCAGTGAGCAAGCACAGGGCAGCACCAGGCCCTGAGCAGCTCTTCACTCCCTTGTGCTAGAGTGCCAAATGCCATGCACACGTGTGCACTGTGCTGAATAGCATCTCAAAAAAGCCTTTCCACCTGGTTTTCTGGGCGTGTATTTAGGGCATTTGTTAATGTTGAGCAGCACAGAGTGCTGAGAAAACAACAACTGTGGTAGCTGTGTTTACATGGCAGATCTCCTCTCCTGCAGCTGCCGGCTGAGCGCAACGCAGTGCCTGAAGCACGAGTGGTTGAACAACCTGCCTGCCAAAGCCAGGAAGTCCAAGCGGCGCCTCAAGTCCCAGTTGTTGCTGCAGAGTTACATGGCTCAGAGAAAGTGGAAGGTAAATAGATGTCACCTGAAAAATCTCGTTTCTAGAGGGACAGTCTGCACAGTGCTGGCAGGATCATGATTTCTTTTTCGATATTTTGACTTGCTTTTATGCACATGGCATAAAAAAGAATTCTTGTAAATATCAGTTGGGGGAATTCTACTTTAGTGGCAAATCAAATTTTATCTTCTGCAGAATAATATTACATCTACTTTCAGAGATGTAACCTAGCTGGCCTTCCTGAGGCTGAGTCTGTGCTAGTTTTCAGACCTTGTATGAAATTTTCGCTAAATTAAATGTGTTTCTGTGCAAAAACGAGGGCTTTTCTTCACCTGGGAGAAGTATAAACCACCTGTAATACCCAGAAAACATGGCTATTTTGCACAAGCTGTGGGACACTAACAGCAAAAAAAATAAACTTTTTCTTTTTTTCTGACTTAAGCAGAGACCGTGTCAGACACAGAAAATGAATGTCCTTCACCTCACTTAGACTCACACTTGGACTCTTCCATTTTGTTCACAGAAACATTTTTATGCAGTGGCTGCTGCTAACAGGCTGAAGAGATTTCAGAGCATGTCTGTCAAGCTTGCATGAGCTTGTCTGAAGCATCTGCTGACACATCTACTGAAGCATCTACATGTTGTTGCACATGGACATCAAGCCATGAAAGGACTCTTTTTTTAAATAAAAATAATTTCTATCCTTTTCTAAGATTTGGGGTCTGTTCTCAGATATTCCGTGCATTAGAGTGCTTAGGTTCCAGAAGTGCCTTGGGGCAGAAGCACAGAAATAATTTCTAAAAAGCAGAAGCTCCCTAGCTTGTTTTCACAAGATTTTTTAGTTATTGGAGACGGTGATGCAAAAACATGGCGGTTAGTGGGACTGGCTTCTTGCTGAAGGGTTTGATTCTACAGAAATCTGTTTTGTTTACACCAGAAAACACCTTAGCATTTTTCTGATTTCTCATATCAAACATAAAAACCCTAAATACTTTTTTTCGTTACTGCTGATGTACTTTATCAATTCTAGAGCACTGCCACAGCAATGGCACATATTTTTTCCCCCACGTATCTGTTCTTAAAGCAAAAGAGATGAGATGCCCTGTTTTTCAGTATTTTTCCCCCAAAGATTTCATTTTTTTCCTCTAAAACATGACAACTGCTCAAAGTTGAATGCATATCTATACATATATATATGTGTGTACACACCACTCTGAGGGATATGTGTGTGTGTATATAAGGTCTACTGTCTCTTTTAAAAAATAGTCACTGCATACTTTGGAACATGAAGATTCCTGGTTTGAAAGCAACTTATGTCAACATGTCCTTCGTTGATTCTCTTTTTTAATACTAAGATGAAATGATTTGAATTTAATTGAAATAATCTTCTTCAGAGAAGATAACACTTCCAGGCGTGGACTTGCATCTTGTTCAAACTTGTAAAGGTTTCTCATCAACTGGGGTTGCAGCATTTAGATTTGTAAATTATAATCTAAGGAGTTTTCTTGCTTCTTGGCAATTTTGGTGAAATCCACCTGAGAAGCTGGCGTGTTGGGCTGTGCAGAATAGTTGCATTGCTCAGTGGTGGAGGTGGTGAGGTAGAGCTTCCATCTCTAAAAGGTAGAGGCAGCAGCCCCTGCCTTTGGCCCAGGAAGGAAGCTGGAGCCCCTTTTGCTCTCCAATGCTAGATTTTTTCCTCACAGAGGTATTTTTTTTGTGTTTTTTAAACAGAAATGTTTTCATGATATATAGAGGTGGAGCCACTTACACTCCCTTAGCTCACAGAATTACATTGTTTATTAAAGCGTGTGGTTTCCTGTATTCCTGTTCTAGATTCTGCAGAATTCAGCATGAGCAGAATGTGCTCTTTGCAGTAGGGGGAGGGAAATTAACAGTGTTAAAACTGGCTTTTCAGGAAAGGCATCATCAAGCCCCTGTCAAGCTCCCATTAACTTTATGGACTTTCACATCCGTTGAATTAGAAAAAGTGGTGGTTACTAATAAAGAGGGTTTTAAGAATGGCTAATGCCGGTCTAGTTACCTTTTCCCCTCTAGCACTTCTCACTTTGCTTACACCTGGGTTCTGGATTTCTGCAGCCTGTCCAGAATCAAGTCAGAAGAATTAAAATCAAGTGAAATAATCTTGATAATGGATCACCTTCCATGAAGGCCCACTATCGTTCATGTTTTCCTTTCACAGTGGTATTGCATGCTAAATATGGTTATATTCATACATATTGGTATGTATATTTATGAATTGAGATTAATAAATTGCATTAAAATGGAACTAGCTTATTGCTCAAGTTTGGCTTTAACCAAAGAAATCATGATTTAAAAGGCATCTTTAATTGAGAAATAATAATTAAAAAGGCATCTTTAATTAGGTCATAACTATAGAATGTGAAGCATTGGGTTGGATTGTCCCCCATCCTGAGGACTCTGCCCCATACTACATCAGATTTTAAGGAGTGGACATTCTGTACACGTATGACCCAGGTAAGCAAGGAGCACACACAGCAACACGAGGTGTTCGGTAAGCTGGTAAAATACTGCTAGGTAGAAGCCTGGCGGGGAGCAGCGTGTCAAACCTAGTGCTCAGACACGAGCTGTTTTCCCTTGTTTCACATGGGTGGGGGGCATTTTTGAGTTGTTTGGAAACAAGGATTTAAAGATGATAATTTGTTTACATGTCAGAAAACATTAAAGGAAAATCTACAGCTGGTTTGGATTAGTTTTATTACAAAAATATACAAAGGTTCCCCCCACCCAGGTATCTTTGTTTTCTGGAATATTTGGGGCCCCTTATATGTGCAAGAGGTTTCAGTCCCGCACAGATCATAAAAACTAAGTCAACTTTAGTATCTGAACAGTGTTTTTTTGGCAGTAAAAAGTTTATCAAACTCTAACTCATCTGTTTTTACTGTTAAGAAGGCACCATTAATCCCCTCCCTCTATTTTAACTACTTCCAGCCAGAGGCACAAAGGCAAGTAATTTATAACTTATCTACAGTTAACATTGCATTAAAGTGTTACCTCCTTGCAAGTGAGGTTATCCTACTACCTAATGCTATAGCTGCTGAGCCACCATTAGTGTTCAGACATGCCTATTCTTGCAAAATCACCACAGTTCTGGTGTCGTTTATTACAAACAATGTTCTTAAATATTTTAAAAACTATTTTATAAATTAACTGGCTACCAGCCAACCATTCCTCTACATGCCTACTGGAAGTCTTGTTGGAGTGGAAGAGGAGTTAAAATGAGGAGCAAGCAGCAGTGCTGTTGCTAGATGGCACTGCAGAGGCAGTACTCTCATTTGTCTTCTGAGCCTTAGCAGCATTTTCCAGGATTCTCTTTTTCCATTCTTCATAGTCTTGCTTTGTTTCAGTCTTTGTCCGTTTACATGGCATCTCATCATCATCTTCGGATTCTAGGAGAGAAGGACAAAGCCCATGAGATGCCAACATGGGCAATATACTGCTGGGAATGGCTACAGCAGTGTATAAATACAGACAAGCACAGGGACTGCTACTCAGTCCATTCAGCTGTGGTTTGCTGCTGTTCCTACCCTTCTCCTCCTCTGTTCCCCACTGCAACAGAAACCTCTTCACCTTTGTTTCTGAATAGAAAAATTGTCCTTAAGCTACTAGGACCATTTGATGTAAACATCATGGTCCTTCTGTTAAGCTTTTAGTCCTTCCTCTAGCCAGTGGTTTGTAAAATAGAGTAAGATGCTGCGAACAGATCCTTAGGGCATATTATATCATTAAAATATCATTAAGCAACAACAAAGCCCAGAGCTGCTTGGGTGAGCTGATTTAGTTCATGGCTAAACACAACTTACCTTCCTCCTTCTCACACTGCTCCAGTTTGGTCTGCAGGCTTTCGGATGTCTCAGCAACCAAAGGAACGTCCTCCTCTAAAGAAAGAAAGCTGCCTTATTTCTGCAAGTTGTCTGAAGCCCCAAGAAGGTTGTTCTACGTGTGGCTCTTTGTCAGCAGGTCCACCCTCTGTGCTCAGTGACCTATTTTTCCTCCCTGGTGGCTGTGTGGTACCTGGCACAGCTGCCTGTGCAGCCAGGAACTGCAAGGGGGTAGGTGACTAACCTGGGTGGAAAACAGCCTAGCAGGAAATGATCAGATCTCAGAGCCGTCCCCTGGTCCAGGCTGACCCCTAAGCTGTACGAGTGGAGGTGCCCTGGCACTGCAAGGGGTGCAAGGCCTGGCTGGCTGCTTTAACCAGCACTGCTGCCCATTTGTAACCTCCACCAGTCATGTTGGTATCCCCAGAATACACTTGGCTACTGATTATTCAGGTAGGATTCTTATTTATTTCTTCTCCCTTCTTTTCTTCAATTCATTTGTTTTGCAGGTAGCCACAATGTGCTGCAGTCCTCTTCCCTGACCTAATACAGAAACTCCCAGGTGCTTCTAGTTGATTTATGGGTAGGGCAAGACTGGTGTAGGGCACCCCACTCTGGGCTGCTTTCTGCCTGGGAGAGAGCAGCAGCTGTTGGCTGCGTTCAGGCAGCATCTTCCAAAAGCAGCGTGCTCTGAAGTGCTAAGACGGGAGGAGGCAGGGAATCAATAAGGAGAAGTGGAAAGGCAGGCAGAGAGCATATTTCAGTCTTCCTCATCCACTAAAAAGAGTGGGGAGAGCTGTATGCTCAACGAGAGCGGAGGACAACCTTCTTCATGCCCACTACATGTGAGGGGACACATCTGTAAGGTCATGTAAGTGGAAGGTCTTGCCTGCATTACCACAGGAAAGCAGGGCTTAGACATGTGAATTAGACCTGTCATGGGGAAGAAAAGGAAAACGCAGAAAACAGCAAGAGACGGCAAGATATTTATGTTACTCTTCACATTATGTTTCTACGGTAAAAGGTGGCAAAAAGCACGTGAGAAAAGGGAATCTAAAAGATAGTTAAGGGAGAAACAAAAATAAAGTTGCAGTGGCAGAGAATATGAACATCTAAGAAAAGAGAATATTTATTGTTCATCCTGCAATGTGTTAAGCTGTTGTGACTTTCCTTGGGGTAAGGAGCACTACTGGGATCTGAGCTGCAGGGAACAGAATTGAAACAGACAACCAGGGTTGGCTGGAAGGGGGCAGTTATGTATGATCACGGAATCAGCAGCGTAGAAGGATGGGGCACTGTGAGGTCTGGTGAGGACTGGGGGATGTCTTACACAGATAAGGCCAAAGAACTTACTGCTGTGTTGCTGATTTATCTTCTCCATCTGACTGCACAGCCGCTCGAATATTGCTTTTTTCACTCCAGATGTAGCCACCATTTTGGATTTGTCTACTTTTATCTTCAACTGCCTACAACAGAAAGTTAATTTATCTTCTGTAGGAAGCAAAATTCAAGCAAGGTATCACTCAGTGAAGCTACATTTACTCTACCAGCAGTGTCTGCAAGAACAAGGAGGGGAAGCTTGAGTTCTTGCCCTACCTGCCTGGTCCTTATTTGACTCAGAAAAATCTGCTTCATTAATAGACCTTTACACAACTCAACCAGGACACTTCTAAAACCAAAGCCTGCGATTAGGTTAAATTGTAAGAGGAAATTTTTAGGAAAAAGTACTTTTCCAGCTTTTGGAGAAAGCAGGACAAAATCCCACTACTGCAAAGAGGCAGCCAAATGGGATGACTGTGGTAGTGATCAGTTGTAGAGAGCTGTGCAACTCTGCAGCTCCCAGACTGCTTCAGAAGATTGTTACAAGGCCTCACACTGCCAGGGAAGGTACCTGCATGCAAGCAAACTCTTGCAACGGGTTGGCCGAGTTGCACCCTGCTGATACTGATCTGCCAAGTTACTGCAGGCCTTCAGCTAAGAACCACCCCTTTCCCAAAGGATAGGCTGTCCTCGGGATGTGGGGGTCTGTGGTGTAAGAGCTCTCCATCCTTTAGAACAACAGCTGCATGGTGCCCTTGGTAAGGGCATCTGGGTAAGCCAGCAGCTGCTCCTACACTTGTGAGCAGCTTCTCAACAAGACCCATGTCTGGCTCTATGCTCTTTGCCTAGTTTAAATCCAGAATGGCAGACAGAAACAGTCTTCCCACTAAATCTGAAAGTGTTACTAAGGGATTATGTTATGCTAGTTAGGCTGAGAGGGAGGAGGGGAAGCGCAAAGCATTAATAGATGTTCTTCAGCCACTGCCTTGGATAATGTGTCCTAATGGAATCACCCACAGCATCTATTATGCACCAGCAAGGGCAGCTTTCATCTATTCTGTAAGTAGTAATTTAAGTTACCCTACTGCATATTTGATGTAACACTTTTGCTTCCTCCTGAAGGAAAATGCAGAGTAGGTATAAGATTTTTCTGTAAGAAAAATGACTCACTTGCTAGGTCTGTTTTAAATCAGTGAGCACTAAGCAAGATGCTTCAGATTATTCAGACATGCTGAAAACTGAATCAGCTTTTTAAACTGTGAGCACTCTCTCTTTGATGTCTCATTAGGCATTTAAGTCCATATAAGATCCCTCCAGCTATACTCACCTGCATGCAGTGAACAGTGCAGCTGTTGTAAAGAGTGGCTTTGAGAAATCGAGGTCTGTTTGCTGGGCTTCAGAGAGGCTAGACTCATACCTAGAAACACAGTAAGAGTGGTAGTTGCATGGCACACCTGCCTCAAGCAAAGCTGTTGAAATAATTTATCACATGGCCCTCAACAGATGAACACGTGTTGGACTACGTGGTCCTTTGCAACCCCGTCAAACACTGACAAACTACCAGCTGAGAAAAGAAACAAGGAAAAAGAAAGGGCCTGGGATCTTCTCTTGAAATAAAGGTATTTTAAATCAGGAATCCTGATCAGGGCATGTCAGTAAAATCTATTTTTCCTACTTGCCATCCCCAGTGCTTCAAAAGTTATGATGAGGTGTTTTACACAAATCCATCCTGTCCTAGAGGGTAGAACTATAGTTCCTTTGATATTTTAATACATCTATTACAAAGATAAATGCTTTGGGATGGCAAATGACACAGTGGAACTCCCACACTGGGGAGAGTTTCAATTTTTACTGTCCATTTGGGCCCAGAGCATTATCAAATGTAAGCAGTTAAATGGAAGACACTTTGATGCTACAGATCTTTGGAACCATTAGGATGTTTAGACATCTAATGAACAAAGGATCTTAGTGGTGGTTCCCCGCCTGGCTGCAAGAGCTTCCTCACCTCTGCAGTATTTGTGAAGCGGTGCCCACTGCCTCCATGCAACAGAACTGCACAGCCAAGTCTCGCATGCCCAGCCTCGAGCTCAGCCCTAGCAGACACTCCAAAGACTTCATGGAGCTCTGGTACGTCGTCTTGTTCAGACCGGAGAGTTTAACAAAGTAGCTCTTCAAAACACAAAGACAAATCTCAGCCCTTACCTACAGACTGCTTTCCACTATCTACTGAGCAAACTCAATGCAAAACTCAACTGAAGTGCAGTTGCTTCTGCACTGAATACAGAGAAACTATATAGCAAGTTTTCTAACTAATGTTTAAGTGCTAAATAAAACATTTGTGCAATGAGTGCTGGAGATCTTCATTGCACAGAAAAAGACTAACTGCCTAGGAACTCCAGCCCTTTTAATGCAGCTAAATCTAAAAATCACTTCCCTGGGGCTGAGATTTGTCTTTTCCATGCAACGTGTCATGGTCCCTTTATCACAATATAGTTAAGAATGAAGGTATCCAAGACCCGAGCTGCTCGCAGAGATGCACAGTACCTCCGTGCTGCTCCTGCAGGGATCGGGTGCACCCAAACCCTCCTGCGTGTGAGGGGACAGTCGGGAACACCCTAAATCACACGGTGTTTTGGCAGCTCGTGCCCTTCACCCGGCAGCTCTGCAGGGGGAGGTTCTCAGGAACCCTGGAGCCTCTGCTTTGCTCCCCCAGGAAAGGGGCAGGTTTTAACTTTAACATCCCTGCTAGGAGTGGGATGGTTACCGAGGGAGCTGGAAACAACAGCAAAGCGCAAACCGCGCAGCGGCTACGGCAGCGACGCCGATCTCGGTTCTCCCGGCTCCGGGCTGGCTGCGGAGGCGCTGGGAGCGCCCCGAGCCC